ACTGAAGGGCTATAGCTTCCTTTGTGTCTCTTTTCTACTGCCTCCTGGCCTGCCCCACCTCCTTCATTCAATTCTTACAGAGGGAGAATTTGGAAGGCATCAGATAAACTTCCATTAATTGCTTGACCACAAAAGAAATTGGTGATGAGTAGCCACAACAAGCTTCCTTTCGGAAGACCAATTTATAGTGATCATCCACTGGGATGAGGGGGAGGATTCTCCAAGGCCTGGCCAAGAGAGACAGATTCTCCTCKTTCCACCAAAGCTCAAGAAAGCTCCTGCATTTTGTTTCTAGCCACACCACAAACATCACCCTGTGRGCCAGAGGTCAGTGTGCAGCTCTCCACCCTGAGAGACTGAAGACAGAGCATCTCCAGCGTGCAGGCAGCAGCGTGTCCCTTGCCTGGCCCACAGCACTGCTACCTGCACTTCAGGCTTGGTACAAACTCACCTCCTCTCCTTGGCCTTTCCTACATCCTTTATCTACTTGAAACAAAGATCCACACAAATGTTTATGCAAAGGAGCCTTTTCTTCCTAAGTCCATTATCTTTCACTGTGTTTTTAAAACTCTGTGATACAGCTGAGCTTCATCTCCTAAATGCTCATCCTGAAACCCTTGKCAGGAATGGAATTAAAATCCTCAGCAACGTGAACAGCTGCATGCATCAGCTATTCCACCCGCCACCACCCCAAAACAAACCTATTTCTACTTAGAAAGAGCCCATCACACCAGAAGTAAACACAACCACTCTGAGTGTTTGCTGAGCTCTTACGGCTCTCCAGAAACAATGATCTTCTCAGGCTGATAAACTTTGCAGCAATGGGTAATTACACACGAGAGCCAACATCTCACACAGAGGGGTGTCCTGAAATGCAGTGTCCAGATAGGATGTGTGCCACCCTGCTGGGACCCAAATGCACAGTATTCAAACAAGCAGCTGTTCCACCATACCACAGGAGCCAGGACATGGTCACTGCCGCACCTGAAGAAGCACATTCGGGATTGGGGTCACAACAGGGGCACAGCGCTTCCCAGCATAACCACAGCCCTGTGGGCAGGCTTGAGAGACCACCCAAGATCTGCAAATGCTCACACAACCCAGGAACAAGAACTGTTACAAGACAGCAGCAACAGAAGCCACAGAACTACACCCCTGGGCTTTGTATCCCYGAACAGACATCTTCAGACTTATTTACAGGAAAGGCACAGGATACTAACAGGCTGTATCAGTACAAAGAAGGGCACAGAGAAATTCTGGCTGGAGGTGTGACCCAAGACCACCCCAAACTTCTCACACTCTGCATGCATGTTGGCTTATGAATGTACTCTCACCCCAAGGAGAACTTTACCTCTTTTAGAGCTTATTTGGGAAAAGCTCTATTCACAATCTTCCCAAAGAARCAACAGCCACCTGCTGCCCCTGTAACTGGGAACTGCTTTGGAGAAATAAAAATAACCAAAACCAGAACACACTCCCAAAAGCACATCCTCAAAACACATTAATTTGTCACTGAARTCTAGCTTACTTGTACTTCAGGCACACAACTGAAAGGGTCTGTTTGCCTGAATATACAGAAACAACTGTACTTCTACCAGGCACAGTCCCTCCTGAGGGCATCTTTATCAGAGACAGAAGCAGGTGAAAGAAAAAAGGGTGCAGAAAGGACGGACTGCAGAAAAAGACCCCAAACATAAACAAACGAATGAGAACAACCCCACAAACAAAACACTCATGTACACATATACTTCAGTTTAATTAACCTAGGAGTTCATATAATCAAAAGACTAGTTAGACAAGAAGTGTTGTCAGAGAGGAAGCCCACCTCTGATCTCCACACAAATGAAATTCAGAAAGCTAGGGTAATAAYAACCATGAGAGCAACATTTGAACAATACCTGATATTATGATGGCTGAACAGCATAAAGCTTGGCACAGAAAGTGATCCATCTGGAAACAAATGCTTTTCTTCAAGCAGCTTGACATGTGCTTGCTTTGAAGCTGTGGTAATTAGATACCTTACAATAATGGGGGATCTATTCCAGTATCAATAGCAGAAGAAAAAAAAAAAAGGCAGTGACTGTATAAAACGACAGAGATCACCAAGGGGCAAGACTGGAAGGATCAAACAGCAAAGCTCATTTTAAGAACAGAAAACCCGACTCAACCACACCTGAATCCATGGCACATTAGGAGAGTGAACATGGGAGCAGCGGTGATGTTTTAGATATGATAGGTAAGGATAGAAGATGAATCTACTCACTAAGAGTATATACTGTAAGACTAAGTAGTCAACTGCAAAAAGGTGACAACTGGAAGGAAAGTAGACCTGTTCCCAGGCCTGAAATACGTACCAGACATTCCAGATCGCACCAGAATGTAATTCAAGAATTGAAGCACCTCGAGAACTAAGTGCGAATCAGAAGACAGGTCACAATCAGAACAAGTGAAGTGATAAGAAAACTTGCTTTAATATTGCATCACACAAAACCAGTTGTTACAAATGGAGTAGGAAAATATTCCACAAAAAACACCAGTAAAAAAATCCCACTGAAGTGCATATATTGCCAAGAAACCTGCAATTCCACCTAACCTTTAAACCACAATTGTATAATGAAAGTATTCATGAACCTTCAGCCACTAAAAAGCAATGTTAACGGTACCCAGCCCCTTGACACTCAATAGGAGAATGATCACGGCCACAAGCTTGACAGAGTTCAAGAAGCATTTGGACAATGCTCTCAGGTACATGGTGTGACGCTTAGGGCTGTCCTGTGCATTTAAGTTGTCCATATGACAACATTTAAGTACTGAACAGTTAAAAAAAAAAAMGTGGGGTGTTTTCTTATTTACTGTACTACTTGGCTGGAAAACAAGAAGGCAATTCCAGCACACGAAAAAGCAGTACCTGATCAACATGTGGCAGGAATTAAGAACATGAGGCTCATACACAGCAGCTCAATTTGTGAGAAAGCACTGGCAAGCACAAAACATAAAAAAAGGTGAAGGGCTGGGGGAATGGGCTGTCCTTCATCAGCAGGAATTTGGATCCACTACAGTGAAGTTACGACATATAAGCCTAATGGCTTTTGGATTTCACAAGCTAGCAAGATACCTGTTATTATTTCCAATTACAATTTTATTTAAAAGAAAAAATTTAGTGTCACTGACAGATCAAAAACTTTCTGAAGTGATTCCCACCCTGACTGGGAAATCACTGAAGACAGAAATAAGGACACTGCAAAGGAGTTATGACCCTGATGCACAGCAGCCATGGCTGGAGATCATACTCCAGGGAAAGGAAGGGAAAGGACACGTGCTGTGTGAGAGAGCACCAGAAGCACACTYATCTCACCCCCATGCAGATCCAGCAACGACTAGAGATAACAGCGAGAAACAATTCCCTAAAAAACTCTTCCAACATTAATTTCATTGATGAGATGCTATTTTCCCCAGCAGTAGGACCCTGAATCCAAAATATTGGGAAGCTTTATTACTGAAAATTCGCCGTATCCACCAGTGACCTACATTAAGCCTCTCCCCTCCCTCTGCTTCACCTTCCTTCTTGGGCTCCGTCCTGCCCTACTTTAATAGGGATTACTTCAGCTAAACCACGTAACAGTTTTATAGGGACACTCAGCTAGGACTGAAAATTTGTCACATCTAGCTGGAAAGGTGGAAGAAATACTTCTAGAATGGTTTTTGCAGCCAGCTTCACTGTGAGGAGACAGTATGCTATGCCACTCCATCCCAAACTCTTCTCTCTCCAATGCCTATCATGAAACGGTAGCAAAAAATTAAAGTGAGTCAAGGACTGGCACGACGGTGAAATTGTTTCCCTCCAGCAAAAGAAATAAAAAAATTTAAATAACAGAGCCGTTTATCCCTGTAGATAACAATTAGGATCAAAGAAAGCAATTTTACTCAATGCAGGGAAAGAGCTCATTCACAGACGAGCGGCAGTTTTCCCTACACTTGTCTTTCAAAGACATTTACCCGCAGSATTTCATCAGTGTTAAAACCACGGAGGCTTTCTACCCCTTCCGCCTCGATTAAACCGGACATCCATCATGCTGAGACCGGAGAAGCGGCAGATCCCGGGGGATTTGCCGAGATCCCGGCTCTCCCCAGCTCCACGCCTCTCAGACATTCACGGTGTTGTACCACCCCCACCGCTCGCAGGGCAAACAAGCCGGGCGCACGCACGCACACATCCACTACTACAAGGCTACAACCGAGCGAGCAGCATCCAACTACTACTCGGCGCAGAGCCTGAAAACAAGCTAGTTTTGATAAACCAAGGCTGCCATCGGTTTGGCAAAAGAGGAAGGCAGGCATTTTTATTGAAAACCAAGCTCTTCAGAGAACACCCTGCACACAGAAATCTTGCGTACCAACAAAGAGGCTACGCTTAAAACACGGGCGGACCGTCTCCCCAAGGCAAAATGCAGATTTATCTTAAGTATTTTGCAGAGTATAAGATAAAGGAAATTTKATGAGCCTTTACACCTACTGGTATCTCATTAAGCGTTTTCAAAGCTTTTATCTTGTTGAAGGTGCAGCTGCACGTAGCTGAATGAATCGGATCCACACACTCATTTCTTCCAGGAAGCCGCGGCGGAGCTCAACCCGACCACTACCGCCCATCCTACACTGAACGATGGCTTCCCCATAAATAGGAAAGCGGGTTTTCTAGAAATACTGCATAATGAGTCATCGGCTGCGAGCAGCTAAACGCCAAGCACCTTCAGAGCAAGGACAGAAATACCAGCGGAACAAAAATAGCCATTCACTGGAACGGGGGGCGGGCGTGAGGAGACCCGCTGGCAGGATTCCCGCTCGTAACCTCCCCCAGGTGCCCTCTTCCACCATTCACCGCAAACCCCCTCCCCGCCCGGCTGAGGGGGCCAGCCCTGTGCCGACGGGCAGCGCTGCCCCCGCCGCGCCCCCTCCTCCTCCTCCTCCTCCTCCTCCTCCTGCTCGCCGCCGGCGCCACTCACCCATCTCTAGGGCCTGGTTGTACTTCTCCAGGGCGGCCGGCAGCTCCTGGCGCTCCCGCAGCGCGTCGCCCTCGGCGCGGAGCCGCCGCGCCCGACTCTCGGCGCCGAACCACTTGTGCAGCAGATTGCCCAGCACCACGTTGACCCGCGGGCAGCCGGCGGCTGGCGGTGCGGCGGCGGCAGGAGTCGGCTCGGCGGGGCGGCGCGGGCGGTGGCAGCGGCCGCAGTCGCCGGGCTCGGCGCAGCGGCGGCAGTGGGTGTGCCCGCAGTGCAGGGTCACCGGCTCGCACAGCAGCCGCCGGCACAGCGGGCAGGCGAAGAGCTCGGGCGGGCGGCAGCACGCCGGGTCACCCAGCCCCTCGCCCTCCGCCCCGCCGCCGCCGGCCGCGCCGCTCCCCCAGGGCGGGAGGCGCAGCTCCTTGTCGCGGATGCTGAGGGCGACGCTCTCCGCCAGCTCCCGCAGCTCCTCGGGCCGCAGCCGCGCCAGCCGCGCCGCCGCTCCGTAGGCGTCCAGCGCCTCGGCCATGCGGCCGGCCCTGGCCAGCGCGTCGGCGCGGCGGAGGCACAGGCCCCGCTCGGGCTGCGGCAGCCCCGCCAGCTCCGAGCCGTAGATCTCGGCCGCCAGCTCGAAGTTGCCGCCGCGGAAGGCCTCCTCCGCCACCTGCAGCATCTCGGCGCAGGGTCCCCCCGCCGCCGCCGCCGCCCTGGCCCCGGCGGCGGGGGGCAGCGCGCAGGGCCCCGGGCCCAGTTCCATGCCCGCGCGGCGCCGCCGGCCCCGGGCCGCCCTACTCCATGCTGGGCCCGCGGCGCTGCCGACTCCGGCTTCCTGGGAGGAGACGGCGACGGAAGGGAGGGAGGGAGGGATGGAGAGGGGGCGTGTCACATCTCTGCAGCAGGGGGGCGGCTCCCGGGATGGGGGAAGGGGGAACCGCCGAGGGGATGGGGGGTGGACCGGCTCCCGGCTTATGTAAGGGGCGAGGAGTTGGGTAAAACCACCCGAGGCCGGCACACAGCCCGCCCTCCCCGGGAGCAGCGGTGGCTAGGCGGGAGCTCCTCGCCCCTCCCTCCGGCCCTCCCCCCGTCCGCGCCCTCCCTGCCGCCGCTGCCCGGTGCCGGTGTCGCACGTGCCCGCCCCGCACGTGCCCCCGCGCCGCCGCGCCCGCACGTGCGCCCGGTCCGGCGGCGGCTCCCGGCGGGAGCGGGGCCGCGGGGCTTCCGCCGTGCTGCTCCTGCCGAGCTGCTTCTGCCGAGCTCAGCCTCTTCCTTCCCGTTTCCTGGTGCCCGCCGTTAACCGCTTCCTCGCCGGGGCTGCCGGACCCTCCTGTCCTATGGCCTCCGGTGCCGCCGTGCGCCGGGAGCCCCTCGGCGCCGCCCGGCCGCCGGTCGCGGCCTCTCTGCCTGCAGCGCCGTGCGGGGTGGGTCGGGGAGCGTTATGGGTTGTTTCTTTTTATTTSCCAGGTCCCCGAGAAAGCAAGTACTTGCTGTCTCTTAAATAAATAAATACATACTTAAATAAATAAAAAACAATAAAATTTCCCAAACAACACAACTCTTAGGAAAAAAAAATCTTTTTCTGTAAGTGGCAGCCTCGCCAGCACAGCTTGGGATCCACGAGTCGTGCTGAGCGCTGGCTTGTGCATCGGCAGCAACAATAAAGATAATGCAGCTGGAAGTTAGTTAATCATGTGTGAGTCAGAGAGGAATCCAACTTGCTCCGCAGGAATAACAGGAGTGGAAAAAAAAAAAAAAATAGGCAACATTTATTTTAGACACAGCTGTAAACAAACCGCTCTGAGAAGCGGAAAGCCTGTCAATCCAATGGGGAGATACCCATGTCCAGCTGCTTTTTTGACTGCAGCTGGACAGCAGAGGGTATTTTTAGCTTTAATTCTCCACTTCTAGGCCTCCAGCCCCCAACTGATGGCCCACATCAGGAAAATCTCATTCATTAACTATTGTACCAAATAGTCTTTATGCTATGAAAATGTTGATTTTCTAAATAGTGTGGTACTAACTTTCTTTAGATGTACATGATTTGTGTTGTATACTGCATAGTCATGTTTAATTAAGCATCAGTATTCATGGTAAGAGTAAGCATGACCAAAGAACCCCTGCTAAAAGAAAGGAGCAGGACCTTTGTTTCTTACAACCTGTAAGCCATTCATGACAGATGAAGGATACCCCTCGACTACCAAGATAGTGCCAGCCATCCTAGCCCCTCCAGCACCTCCATGAAACCCTCCTCTTACCTGYCATCATAGATTAGAAACTGTATCARGACTGACTCCAGATGTCCAGATCAATGAAGAWGCAGGTGGATGATGGCTATAAAAGTATTGTTGGTTTTCAGAACAGTTATGTGTTTGCAGGAAGTTGCTCCATCACTTAGCCATTTTGCACTGCTCGTGTTTCTAACAGTTGATTCTTTGAGCAATGCTCACTGCTCCAACATTTGTACCATCCTCATTGGCTCAAGGTTTCTTTCCAGAAGGTGACCTTGGCATCCTGCTAGTATATAATCATTCCCTTTCTTGACATGTTCACTTGGAATTAGGATGAGATGGAATCCCATTGCTATTTTATCAAAGTCACTTGGGGACATTATTCATAGCAGAGGACAGAAACATTGGGGCTAGTTCTATTCTGCGGTATCAAGCACAAGCTATGGAATCTTGGACAGATGATGAAAATATGGGCTCACTGCTTGAGCCACCCCTTGATGTTATTCTCTCATTCCTGTGATCCCAACAAGCAGCAGCATCATTTTTGCTGACTGCCYCCATCCCACTCACTTGGCAATTAGACTTCTTGGCTGGGAACTCCCCAGCAGCCCTCCTTGCTTTCCTTGCTTTCCTGTGGAAGGAGACAGCAGGCAAGTCCATCCTGTCACGCCACTCTTCCCCACGTGTCTTTGGATCGCCCTTCAGCTCCATCCATCCCTTCTGATGGGTGATCTGGGAGGCGCTGGCTCAGGGGCTGGTATTGAAAATGGCCTGTCATTTGCTGCTGTGCGTGTGTCGTGCCAGGCTGGTGTGCTGGGATCACTCCAGTCCTTTCCTCACCAATGCTTAGCAGGCGCTTCTAGAAGAACCTGCTGTGAAGCAAGGCAACTACTTTATTTAGAAACGTGATCGATAGCCTCTTGGCATGCAGCCTCTATTTTTTTTCAAAGACATCTATTTGCAAGGGAACAAAATTACCTCACTGCTGTTCAAACTGACACAGCATGCTATCTTTTCCCTGCTTCCCAAGAGCAGAATTGCTTGCCACCTGTGTCTGAGCACACCTGCATCACTCTTCTCCCCAGTGGCTATTTAGGGGGCCATGTTCTATCACAAGTCTTCTCCCTTCAAAACATGGTTCATTTGTACATCTGGCTGCACTTGTATTTGCTGTTTCCTTATATGAGCAACAAAGCCGCTTTAATACAGCTGCCTTTTGCAAAATTGATAAGAATTCATTGAGCTGTAGATCTTGGACAGACGACGAAAACATAGACTCACCACTTGAGCAATCTCAAAGTATTAATTATTTCCAAGAAAGAATGATAGACTAAGAAATAGCAAGAACCAGGGGAAAAAAATAAAATTATTAAAAATGTATACTTTAGAAGCTCATGCTTCTTACTGAAATTATCAGTAGTATGCCTACCACAGCAAACGTGACATGAGAGATTCCTGCCAAGAAAGTCCAGTGGAACAGGTGACATCATCCTGTGGTTTATGGCTTCTTGCTGGACAAAATGCAAGATACTGGTGGCAACAGCCACAAAACAGAATGGATTTTTCATAAAGGATGTGAAAAGCTGACAGAAACACCAGGTTGATTTATAATTTTTATTAGAAGAAAAGCTGTAGCTACTGCATAGGATTGAAATGTTCTGTACCACAGGAGATAAAGGACCTCCTTTTGTACTCACYAACCATGGCAAAACTGCATCTGGCTTCATCATTTTAAAAAAAAGCCCCATCACCAGAAATTGGCTACTGTGTGGAAGGCTGTTAGAGGCTCTCCCCGTTAGCAGTATTATTTTCCTGTTAATACTATGCTTCCCCTTAGATCACRCACTCTCAAGCAACGTGTCGAAGTCCATCCACTTCCCAAGGGGACAATTACAGGTWCTTACTCCAATGAGTCACAGTTACATGCTACAAAGGTGTCATGAGGCTTCCTTTAAATTTGTAGCCTAATTTTCAATTTCTTCCTGAAGCCCAGCTTCCGCAGGGTTTTCCCCAGGGTAGAATTTAYTTGAAGCTTGAAGGGGAAAGGAGAAGTTGAACTAACTTTGAAGTGGCAGCATTTACATATTTGGAGGGCATTTTTAATTCCTCTAACACTTTTCTGTTCCAAGGTAGTTTGAAGTATTAAACTCCAGTTTGTTTTGATGATTTTTTTGTTTATTGTTGATACTGTTATTTATTGTTTCAGAATAAGTTAATTAGGATATAATCAGTGAATGGGCACACATACAGGTACCATGCTAAGACAATACATAAGTTGTATAGTCGAAGACACAAAAATTAGGGTACAGTAAAATTAAGGCTGTGTATGCTTATTTAGTATCTCCTTCATTCATTAACCTGATATGATTTTAATTAATGACATACTATTTTCTCTTCAGGATGCATGCCTGTCTTGATTTAGTCACAGGAAAGAAGATACTCAATTAATGGGCATCCAAACTGTAATGTTCTCCATGATCACTGTCCAGTCCCCTTGCACCATTTAATTTGTATTAATCATACTTTGCTGCATAAGAGAATTATAAATTTCCTTATGTGTTTTTCTGTAAAATTCAGTGTACAGTGTTGCAATATTCACAAATATGCACACATTTTCAACAAGAGTATGAGTCAAAAGGAATAATATTTGACCCTTTGAGAGCTGGGGATTTGAGGTAAGTCCAGAGTGGTCACTAACTTGGGGCACTGGATTTAGTGGATGAAATTTCAGAATGTGATTTTTCAGATATGTAGATTATTTCAGAAGTACAYCTTCCTTTGATTGAGCTGCAACTGGACAGAGTGCTGAGACCTCAGCCTGTGTTTAGCCCTCAGCCACAGCACTCTGCAAACAAGAGCTATGCAATTAGCCCCACCACCACCACCACCCAAGGCATGATGTAAATGCCTTACACTTTGGCACAGAGAAAACCCACAGCAGAGYGCCGAATGCAGTCCTTCCAGCCAGCCCTCAACTGCTTTTCTCCTTCCCTAATCACTGACTCATTTATTACAAGCTTTCCAGCTTTCAAAAGAAAAGGTCACTGTATAATTATTACTACTAAAGACTTTGCCAGCTTAATGAATTTGTCCCAACTGAAATAGCAATAGTGTATTTTTTTTTCAAGAAAGCCTTTTTTTCAGAAGTATTTTTGTAAGAAAGTTGCAGGGTGGTGCCAGTGATGAAAAAGGTGCTAGCTAAAATCTACTGATGTTAAACATAACAAAGAYCTTTCTTTTCCCCCAGAAGACATGTAATACATTAATCCAGCTGCTGTGAGTTGCAGGAGCTAGGACTGTTTCTAGAGATTCTCCTGTTTCTTTGCAACATCCCAAAGAGGGAGATGGATCTCATCTTTTCAGAGTTGCACACGTGTATTGTGTATACAAAACATGTTATTCATAACTACATCCTGCATGGGCTGATGGGAAGATTAAACAGCTTAATAATTGTCCAACAAATCATTAACACATCTTATGATGCAAAAGCAGCCAATTAAAGTGTACTACCRGATTCCCTCCCAATAGCTTCTGAGATAAGCACTGCTAAGAAAATCTCCTTCCCTAGCAATGATAACAATCAGTCTTTATCAAATGGAAGTGTATTAACTTTTTCAATTTATGTATTAGCTCACATTATACACTGTAATCCAATGAGGCASTATTGTTCATGCTTAAGTAAAACAAATGAAGGGACAGCCCAGTCCCAATTGCTTTGCTTTCTCCTAGCACCGAATCAGGGAATTTGTTGGTCTTGTTTGGTAAGCATCAGCTTGGATTTTCAGAATAATGCGCAAATATTTTCCACTGTGCTGGTTCACA